AAATGGCAGTATTAAACTCACATAAATTATTATTAATTCTAAATTTAAATCGACTAAATCTCCCAATCCAAAGACACAGACAGGCAAAAAAAGCCAAAACCCATTGGTATGTTGCATCCAGACCCCTCTCACATGCAAGGATACACAAAGACTCAAAATAAAGGGATGGAGAAAGATTTACCAACCAAATGGAGAGCAAAAAGAAAGAAAGAAAGAAAGAAAAAGCAGGAGTTGCAATTTTTGCCTCTGATAAAATAGACTTCAAAGCAACAACGATCATAAGAAGCAAAGAAGGACATTACATAATGATAAAAGGATCAATGCAACAAGAAGAGCTAAAGATCCTAAATATATACGCACCCAATACAGGAACACCCAGATGTATAAGACTTATAAAGAGACTTAGACTCCCACACAATAATATTGGGAGACTTCAACATCAATATCAGACAGATCAATGAGACAGAAAATTAACAATTGTATCCATGATTTGAACTAAACTTAATTAACATTTATGGAACTCTCCACTTTATGCACTTATCAGTACCACATAACACCTATTTACAGGTTTAAATGAAATATTGGTTGGCTGCTTGTTTGTTATTTTCTTCCCTCTTTTTTTTTTCATGTCTTTATTATTAAGCACAATTATAGGCATACCCATTTTTAGACTGCATTCTAGCCCGGGCAATAAAGCAACACCCCCATTCTCTCTTCCTCTTTCTCTTCTTCTTTCTTCCTCTTCTTCAGTTTTTTAATTATTTTTTATTCTTTCTTTCTCCTTTTCTTCTTTTTTTCAAAAAGAAAAAAGAAAAAAAATATAATGTTGACACTCCCCCTTCAAGTGGTGACATCTACGATCCCTGCCCTTGAATCTGAGCAACCTTGTAATTATCTTAGTGAATAAAATGGGAAGAAAATGACACCACTTGACTTCTGAAGCTTGAACATGGAAGGCCACCTGGCCCTTGAGATGCTCACCTTTTGAATAAAACCGCACTGTTGTGAAAAAGCCCAGGCCACAGCTGGCCAACAGTCCCAGCTGGGTGTCATTCCAACTAGGATGAGCATCAACAGAGTCATGCGAGTGACAGCCTTCTCATGATTCCAGCTTCTAGACAAGCTGCTAAGTATTGTGGAACAAAGATAAGCCATCCCTGCTGTGCCCAGGTTCCTCACCCTTAAAATCTATGAGCAAAGCAAACACATGTTTTAAGTCGAAAACATAATGGGGTAATTTGTTATGCAGTCATAATAACTGAAACACCCCATTCAGAGCTATAGCAGAAGTAGCCTTCACAAATTCCCTTTCTTTGTTTGTTTTTGTTTTTTGAGACAGTCTCACTGTTTCACCAGGCACCAGGGTAGAGTGCAGTGGCGCTCACCGCAACTTCCGCCTCCCGGCTTCAAGCAATTCTCCTGCCTCAGCCTCCAGAGTACAGGCACGAGCCACCATGCCCAGCTAATTTTTGTATTTTAGTAGAGACGGGGTTTCACTATGTTGGCCAGGATAGTCTCGATCTCTTGACCTTGTAATCTGCCTGCCTCAGCCTCACAAAGTGCTGGGATTACAGGCATGAGCCACCACGCCCAGCCCACAAATTTCCATTTTTATTATTGTATCATAGGAACCAGGCGGTATAGATTCCTATATTCAGAAGTATTTTCTTCAGGCATTTTGAAGATTCTTGATCATCCTTTTTATTTCCTACCCCTCTTTTTCATATAGCAAGTGGTTTTGTTTCAACTTACTAAAAAAAAAAAAAAAAAACACACAGGTCTTGTTAACAAGAAAACCTGAGATCAATTTCACAGACAGAAAGGAGGTGCAGCGAAGCAACGACCCTAGGCGGGAGGCTGAGGAAGCAAGCCTGAGCTTTGGCTGCAGGTGCAAAATGGCTCTGCCGCAGGCGATGGAACTTGGGGATCCCAGCAGATTCTGGGCTGCTGGATTTGGAATATGTGTCTGATGTACATTCTGTTCTTAAACACCCACAAGTTCAGACTCCAAATGTGGCACCATTTCCCCTAGGGCTGACAGCATCACTCACAGGGGTTGATGAACACTCAAGACAGTGGGCGTGGGAGGCAGAGGGACACTCATGCCTGCCGGCCCGTCGGCACCCTACCATCAGCTGTCCCTGCCTGGCTTGGCATGCAGAGAGCGACGCCGTCAGTGCGATCTCTTTTTCCGTTTTACAGTCCCTCCGAAACTCGTCTGGTTGCCCTTTGTCTCCCTCTCCCCATATATCTGAAGGGATGGACTTTATGGCCACTTCTTCGGGGGATACAGAATTATAGATCTCTGGATTTATATCTGTTTGCCAGGCCCGCTTTGGTCCCTGCACCAGAAGGTGAATGCCGGGGCAGCGAGAATGATGTTGCATTCTAATAGATCTGGACCAGTTTCTGACAGCTTATTTTGACAACAGCATAAAATTCAATGATTGTCGCTCAACTCAGAAGTCATAGGAAATACGGGGGAAAAAGGATGTCTGAATGTGAGCCTCTGTAGCTTCGGAGTGCTCTGTGAGTCTGGTAAATTAGGAAAAACACAGAAAGCTAAACCAACACATTTAATGACAGTGGTGAGTCTAGAAGCAAAGTGATTTACCCCAGAGAATGTGACATGAACATATGTTTTCCTGAGATTGAGGGATCACCACCTGCCACATGAACAAGTAAGGGAAGCAGGGATATGATAGCCAGCCTCTGGGTTGCCTGGCCCCCAAAAGATCCTCGTCTACTGGAATTCACACCTTTGTGTGTGTAGCTCTCTTCCGTGCTGAAGAGGCCTGTGTGACCGCTAAGGTATCACAGAAGTGACAGTGTGACTTTGATAGCTATGCCATAAAAGATAATACTCATTCTGCTTTGTTCTCCAGGATGGCTCGCTTTGCTGGGGAAGTGTGAGGGGGCTCAGCTGCGATATCCTGAGTACACTGAAGTGGCCCAGGGAGAGTCCATGTGGAGAAAAGCAGAGGCCTCCCACTCGCTGCCAGCACAGACAGGGGAGCGACCAAGCTTTAAAAACTGATCTTTCGGCCCTAGAGAAGCCTTGGGATGACTGCAGTCTCAGCTAGCAGCTTGGCTGCTATTGTAAGAGTGACTCCGAGTGGAACCCGCCTAGCCAAGCTGCTCCTGAATTCCTGCTCCACAACAGCTTGGAGTAGTAATCAATGTTGACTGTTTTTAAGTTACCAGATTTTGGGGCAACTTGTTTTGTAGCAATAGCTAACTAATGAGAGTATATAAATTACAATTAGATTTGGTTGTGGGGGACAGACTGCCCCCCTCTGCCTTTCCTACAAAGAAAGAAGATAGATGTTTATTTCTCTCTTGTTTAAGAAATCTAGAGTCGCAATTTTTTGGCGGGTCTGGTGCTCCAAAGGTGTCAGAGACTCAAGCTATTTCTCTCTTATTGTTCTGCTATCCTCAGTATACAGCTCTCATTTCACAGTCCAAAACGGCTGCTCAAACCCCAGCCATCACCTCCTCATTCCATCCAACAGGAAGGAAGAACACAACACATCTCTTATGGACATTTCCTAGGAGTCATATTTGATACCTCTGTTTATATACCACTGGTCAGAACGTGGGCATATGGCCATATCCAGCTACCAGGAAGGCTGGCAAATAGTCTTTATTCTGAGCAGCCATATGTCCAGCTAAGTCAGAAATTTAAGGAAAAAGAGAAATAAATTTTGGGGAAGCAGGCTTTGCTGCAAGGTGCTAGCTTAGCTGAATATGAATGATAATTAGGAGTTTGCCAAGAAGATAGGTGTTATTATAGGTTGTCATATTGTGAATGCACCTACTACATTATAGAAGATGGTATATTATAAATGGCTGCAAACTCTTTGCTATTTACTACATTGAATGGTAGAGTCTATTTCTTTTCCCCATGAAACTGTGCTTGTCATATGACTTGTGTTGACCAATAGAATGCAATAGAAGTGACACTATTACTTCCAAGGGTGACTTAAGAGATATGCAGCTTTTGCTTTCTACTTTTGAAATACATCTTTGTGGTACGATGTAGGAAGTCTGTCTTCCCTAATACTAATCCTGCTGTGAGAAGGTCCAAGCTGGCCACGTGGACAGAGCAAGACCATGTAGGGGAGTAACGGGGGACCACACATGGGAGTGAAGTCTTCTTTGACCTCCCATCCCAGCCAAGACACCAGCTGAATGTAACCTAGTGAGTGACCTCAGGGAATGCTTCATGGAGAAGAAGAACTGGCCAGCTAAGCCCTGCCCAAATTCCTGACCCCCAAAATTATGAGCAAATATATTGGTTGTTACAGTATGCCTCTAAGTTTTGGGGTAGTTGTTCACAGCAATAGCTAGCCAAAACTAAAACAAGAAAGCTCTTCTAGGCAGAGGGAACAGCGTTTTAAAAAATATGGTAGTGAGAGGCAATGTGGTGTGTACAAGGAATTCTACACAGTTTGATATGCTGGAAGTTAAAATTTACGGAGGAGAGTGGCAGGTAAAAAGGCTGGAAGTAAGCAGGAGGCTAGACATGGAGGACCATGCTACGGAGGGTGGATTCAGGAGCCTGCCAACAGAGTCAAAGGGGAGAGGGTTTATTAATGAAAGGACTGACTGTAGCAAGATTCAAGATCCACAGTAAGTACTCCAGAGTCGTTTTTTCCTCCTAACAGATAGATCAGGGGTAACCTACATGGACAGCATTTACGGAGGGGAAAGGTTATTGTTACCATGTGGAATGATGGGTGGGTTTCTATCCTACACTGTGTGGAAGGACTTTGTGAAGGAGGGGGTTCATGGAATGAAGATATTGTATTTTCTACTCAACTTCTTTCAGATTAAAACAAATTCTCTCTCTTGCTGCTTCCTCCTTCTTGGTGGTGAGATCCTCGGAAACGAAGCAGCTAGCTTTATCTTTTCCAGACTCATGACCTCAGGTAATCCATCCACTTCGGCCTCCCAAAGTGCTGGGATTACAGGCATGAAACACTGCACCAGGCCATGTGTGTTTTTTAATTACATTTTTTAAAACAGCTTTATTAAGGTATAAACACCATAAAATTCACGAAGTGTACAATTAAATGACTTACAGAGCTGTTCAGCCAGCAGCACAATCCAATTGTTGAAGACTTCCATCACCCCACTTAAATGTCTCTCATTCATTTGTATTAATGGACACAACTGAACAAAAGCCCAGGCTGCGAAATTTTAGGGTCCAGTACAATCTCTTTTTGGTTTGGCTACAGTTTGGTGCCACCTGGTGGTGTCTGTCCTGGTTTCTGGGACCAGGCAGAGTTCCCAGGAATCTCCCAGGTAGTAGACAACCATTTAATCAACCTGTTCTGGGGGAGACTAGACCAGCAAAATAGTGGACTGAAAGGCACCCATCCTCTATCTTTTGGTTTGGTGAGGGGCCTGGCTACTGTTTCTTTGCCTGGTTTACTCTACCTGCCAAGGAAAGGAGCCAATCACATACCCAAATCCACATATCCCGATTCCCGTTACCGAGGGCATTGCAACACACATATACATGTATCTATAATTATTACAGCAGTATATTAAATGAACGGAACTTGATAAAGCACAAACAGAAAACATTATCCCTTACCTTGAAATCATCTCTATGGTTTTTTCTTCCCCTGACCTAGATGAAGTCTCTGGCATCTTCCAGAGCTTTTCGGGTCACTCTGAAATAATGAAAAGTTATCTGGTTATTTTCATCTAATTATGCCCTCATTTCTGTAAACCATCATGTCCAGTAAAATGATTGAAATCCATCACTTTAACCAACATTATGGCTTTCTCCTCTCCTGCTTGGCCTATTCCATGCCAGAAGTCTGCAGTGGGAGGGACGGTGGGGTCAGTCTCTTTGCTGCACTCACCTCTCCCATTAGCTGTTGTTTCTGACTCCTGGGGAAGATAAAGTCTAGGGGATCTGGTGGCGGGAGTATGCAGCTTCATGTGGCTGAGGCTGTGGTGATCTGATTCTGGTGCTCTCTGGTGTGGGAATTCACTCAGGGTGGTGGCAAAAATATTAAGGGAAAAATAGTAGAGAAAGTTATAGAATATAGTCTCAAACCCTTTTGGAAGATCTAAAGGTTTTCTCTATAGTTCTTGGCTGAAGGCAGCCAGAGTCTTTTTACAGAAGCCAGAGATATTAGTGCACAAATACAAAGGAATGTGAATAGTTTACCTAGCTAGCTTGTTTGTTCATGTGGTCTTAAAACTAACACTTTGATCTGGATGGCTCTCTCGTGGGGAAGTCGACCAGGGATATTACCCACTAATGGTGTTTGCTTTGGGCATCAAAATGTGCCTTTAATCTTTAACTTCTAGTGGTGTTGACTCAGAGTTTTTGTCATTTAATGTGTACTGAATAAATGAGAGTCTCACTGGCTGGTGGGGGCCGGCAGTTGCAACTGTTTACAGCACTCTCTAGGGTACCTGTAAGCTGCCCAGATACACTCAGCCAAACTGGCAAAGCATAATACCTGTGTGTTAGTGTACTTTATTCATCTATCGCTGACTCAGGGTCTGCAGGATAGATCCCTGCAGGCGGTGACCCCAATAGTGGCACCCAATGTGGGGCAAACCCCGACACTCTGGCTTCAACATACTCAAGGCTGATTGTTTCTCTCAGAAGGTACTTTTTGTGGTATCTCCAAGATTCTCTTTGCGGGCATCATCCACATGCAACTTCCATGAGTCAAGGGATATCTCTTCTCCAGCTTGGAAGGTCAGGATGCCACCACATTCTTTGGGGGTCTGTGTGCCGAATCATTTAGCTCCTCCAGGCAGTCTCTTGGGTGCATTCCCTTTGAAGAAAACTTCTAGTCCACTCTCCATAGATCTGTTTATTCCTTGGGGAAAAAATGTCACAGGATTCCTCCACAGTTGCTGGAAATGCAGTTAGCTCCTGCAGCAGGCTTCTCTCTCCTTCTCTCTGTCTCTTTTTCTGCCCTGCCACCTCAGGTCCTCCTAGGCACAGCTTCTCAGAGCAGTCCTTATGGTTTCCAAACTCTCAGATCAAAAGTTCTCAGAGTAGTTCCTTGAAAATGCTTTCATTTCACAGAAATCTTTTCTATTAATTTGCATCTTTAACTTTTTCATACTTTATTTTTTCCTTGAGATAGGGTTGCTCTGCCACCTAGGTTGGAGTGCAGTGGCACCGTCATGGCTCACTGCAGTCTCCACCTCCTAGGCTCAAGAGATCCTCCTACCTCAGACTCCCAAGTAGCTGGGACAACAGGAGTAGTCCCACCATGCCCAGCTAATTATTATTATTATTATTATTATCATTATTATTATTATTATTTTGTAGAGATGGAGGTCTCATTATGTTGCCCAGGCTGGTCTTAAGCTCTTGGGCTCAAGTAATCTTCTTGACTCAGCCTCCCAAATTGTTGGGATTATAGACATGAGTCATCATGCCCAGCCAATTTTTCATACTTTGAAGTGGGCATTGACTAAAGGCACAAATATTAGATTTCAGATTTCCCTTTGGCAAGTCCTGCATAACATGATCTCTCTTTGGAATGTGGAGGTACTTGGTATCCATTCAAAACTGCTACATTGCATAAATGTAGGCTATTATTTAGATAAAATATAACAAGGATATTGTTTATATTATTTACATTATTGTTAATATAAATAATATATAACAAGGATATTATTTATATATTATACATTATATATATCAAATATAACATATATGTTTATATATTATATTTAATATATATTTATGTATTAAATATATAAATATTTATATATTAAATAAAACATGTTTATATATTATATATTATATAACAAGGATATTATTTATATATCATATATAAAATATATACTTATATATTATATAACATGTTTATATATTATATAACAAGGATATTATTTATATTATGTATATTAACATAAATATTATATAACAAGTATATTATTTATATTATACTATTTCAAGGTATCATTTAGATAAAATATAACAAGGATAGAGAATATAATGTGAATAGTGCCCCCTGGAAGTGTGAAGCTGCAGGCCTGTGTGTATTGTCCTGAGCCTTTGGAGCTTCAGATGAGTCCTCTTACATGTATAGTAATAACAGAGCTACCTATATTGTTACCAGGTGCTATGCAGTATTTTAGGTGCTTTAGGTATTTTATTTGATCTTCATAACTACTGTATGAGAAAGGTACCATTGTTCATCTCTGTTTCATAGGTGAGTAAACTGAAGCCCAAAGACGCTTCATGACTTGTTCAAGATCACACAGCAAGCAAGAGGCAGAGCTAGAATCCAAACTCAGCATGTGGTTCCCATATCTGTACTTCTAACCCTCCCTATTCTATCCTTTTTTAAAAAAAAAAAATTTTTTTTTTTGAGACTCTCCCTCTGTCGCCCAGGCTGGAGTGCAGTCGTGCCATCTTGGCTCCACAGTAGCCTCCGCCTCCCAGGTTCAAGGGATTCTCATGCTTCCGCCTCCCGAGTAGCTGCAACCCTATTCTACCTTGCCTGAGAGTTCCACTTTTCTCCCTGACGCTCTGGGCAGGCTGCAGACAGTACAGCATGGGCCCTGGCGTTGGGCAGATGCGGCTCAGATGCCATTCGGTAGATGTGTAGCTTTACATAAGTGACTTAACTTTCCTGAATCTTAGCATCCTCATCTAAAGATTCAAATGCCTTCCTGACGGAGTGTTTGGTTGGGAGGACTAATCCCTCATTTATTTGCCCCATCTCTCTGCAAAGAGAAAGGAGTCAAAATTGCATGGCTGTCAAGCCTGATATTATCAAAGCAACATCAAACATGGGTGAAGGGAGGGAGACGTAAATCATTATTTATTTCAGGAAAAAAAAAAAAAAAAAGTAACAAATGTCTACTGGCTGCCAGGCACTCACTAGCATGGGTGCTCGGGGCAACGAATCGAATCCATCTCTCCAGGTCATTCACACACCAAGGCCCTGCTCATCTTTGTGAATTTGGGGGACTGAGTGGGGAGGGCACGGCGTGGTGTCAGCATGAGCCCACTGGGTGACCCGAATCACCAAACGTTTGCTACCTTCTCTGTGGCAGTAACCCTGATGCCGCGTGGCGTGCTCTGAACACGTGGTGCCCAGGAGGAAGGCGGCGTCCCGAGGCCCAGGGTCCCCGCGATCCGCTCAGCTGCAGGCGCCTAAGGCGGGACAGGCGTGGGCCTTTCTTTCTTTCGGAACCGTTCTCACGGGGCTGAGTCCCTGCCCGGACTCCGAACGCCGAAGGCCGGGGACCGGAAGCGCGTGCCGCCACTGCTGCGCCGTGTCAGTCGGGAGGGAGGGAGGGAGCGAGGGAGCGAGCGAGCCGAGCCGCGGAGGACGGGGTGAAGATGGCGGCCTTCTCCGGTGCGTTTGTGGACGCTCTGGGGGTGGTGGGGCGGCTTGTTGCACGCCTTGGCCCTGGGTGGGGAAGGGGGGCGGCGGGAAGCTAAAGGGGCGGGAGCGGACTGAAGTCAGGGAGACAGCCCGGCCCTGTCCGCAGCAGCCCCTTGTGGACTCGCGTTGCGGGATCAGGGGCGGCCGCGGCTTAGATACCCAGGGCAGTTGCTTCCAGGAGCTGGCCGGGACGTCCCACCCCCTACCCTTTCCCTTCTACCAATCTCCACGTGGCCTTCCTGCCAGTGCACCTTCGGATGCAAAATCGAGGCGGCGGCGTTCCTCTGGCAGCTCCCAGACGCCTGGGCCTCCTGCGTCTAACGTGGCAGTAACCCTTTGGGAACCCTTTTCTGCCCGCGGTTCATCGGGGCTTTGCCAGGGAGAGAAGCGAGACGGCGTGGGGAGGAGTCATTGGAGAAAATGACGATCCTGCTCTGTTGAGGTTTTTCAGGCCGTTCCAAAAGTCCCAGGCATAAACCTGATCTTTATTTGTTGTTAAATGCTATTATATCAACATTAACTTTCGGTGTTCAACCTGGCAGGAAAGCATTTTCATTAACATATGCACCAGTTCAACATAAGTTTTGAAAATTTCTATTTGTTTGCCGTCTGATGCCCTCCTTTATTCCAAATACGATTTAATGTGGCTTATTGAAACCTATGGTTGACATTTTCCCCTCTTTCTTTATCATCCTATTAGACATCCAGTTTTAGGAAGCTGTAATCAGCCTTAAATGTCCCAAACATGATACATTTATGTAGCACTTACGTAATGTTTATTGCTAAATAAATGCATCACGTTAGGCCTAATGTCCTTTAATGTTCCTTTTTTTTTTTTTTTTTTTTTTTTTTTTTAAGACGGAGTCTCGCTCTGTAGCCCAGGCTGGAGTGCAGTGGCACAGTCTCGGCTCACTGCAACCTCTGCCTCCCAGGTTCAAGCTATTCTTCTGCCTCAGCTTCCTGAGTAGCTGGGACTACAGGCTCCGGCCACCATGCCCAGCTCATTTTTGTTTTATTAGTTGAGACTGGGGTTTCACCATGTTGGCCAGGGCTGGTCTCGAACTTCAGACCTCAGGTGATCTACCTACCTCGGCTTCCTAAAGTGCAACAGTCATGTAAGATTTCTGACTATTTCAGTTACATTTTCTAATAGGATTCAGTTGGAAATCTGCTCAGAGTTGTTGCTGTTTGTCTTTTCCCAACATTCCCCTAAAACAAGATTTTAGAGCCAAAAGGTCTGTAGGGAAGTTCTAGGTAGTCATCTTACAGGTTCGCATCTTTGGGAATCATACACAAATTTCATGAATGTTAGAGGTAAAGGACTGGAAAAAGAGTCTATGACATGAAATAAAGACAAAACTGGAATTAAAACCATGAATGTTTCTAATTTTTTTTAAACTGTTGGAAGTGTTAGACTTAAGGCATGATTTCAAAGAAAACATGCAAGGAATATGACCAGAGTGGTACAAGAGGTTGTCTAGAATTTACTGAAAGTGGTATGTTGTTTCTTGTTGTATTTACCAATTTTGCATACAGCTTCAGTTTGCAGTATTCTGTATGTAGGAAGAACCCACCACTACTTTAGTTTAAGCAGTTTGCATTTTAGGAGAGAGACCGTAGATTGTAATATAGGTTCATTCTTAGCAAGGTCTGCCTGGATATTCAACTTTAGATCTTCATTAGTTTATCTGTGGATTTTTTTTTTGAGTTAGGAGAGCCTTCCTTTTTTTTTGAAAATGATGATCCTTCTCATCTGATGCAAAGAAAAAGCTACATAATTTTATGAAGAATATTTTCAATTTGTATGTTTGCTTTATGCCTTTTCATAATGGCAAGAAATACAGAATTTCAAAATTGGTTATTTCTAGGGCTTGGGAATATCACTTCTCATTTGGAAGTTTAAGTAATCGAGCTAACTACTCCATATATAGTTACCTTCTGTGGTTCACATCAGAAATGATAAAATGGCAAAACCCATTTAGGAGCAACTCATCTCTATTTATTTAGGATGGGCCTTGAAGTAGTATTATTGAGATATGTGGATAGTAAAGAACAGAGCAGCTCTTCTGACATTTCCAGTTGCCTATGTTTTCACCAGTGGCCCCTCCATCTTCAGTTAATCAGAATTTTGGTTATGGCTGCCAATAAATATAGGTGCTTTCCATTTGTTCATTTTTCTCCGATTGCAACAACCCTGTCTACGCCTGGCAGACTTTTCACAAGTCCTAAGAGGTAAACAGGCACTATAGTGGCTACAGTTTATTAGGTTGCAACCATGCTCCAGATGTATCACATTATTATCATCTCTGGTCATCATATATCCCTACAAGGTAGGTAATATCAGTCCCATTTTGTGTGGAGAAAACACTTACAGCCTTGCCTAAGGTCACTTGCTAATAAGTGAGAGCTTAGATTTGAACTCAAGTCTTTCTCCAGAACTTGTGCTCTTTCAACAGTTCCACACTCAGTAGATTTGATGTAAATGAGCTCTCCTTCAATGTCTTTACCCTGTTTTATGAATAGTAATTTTGAGAGCAATGTAATTTATGATTTCACTTCGGTATATGTGGTTTTCAAAATTAATTTTTACTTTCAG